CTCTCTCTCTCTCTCTCTCTCTCTCTCTCTCTCTCTCTCTCTCTCTCTCTCCAGCAGCCCTGGAGCCCCAGATAAACGGCTCCAGTCTGACAGTCCAGAAGGGCCAGTTCCTGCGGCTCCTCTGTTCGGCCCACGGCCACCCCCCACCCACACTGAGCTGGGTCCTGAACAGCACGGTGCTCTCCTGGTCCCTCCCCTTGAACTACACCCCTCTGTTCCTCAAATGGTCTCACGTGGACACCAGGGACACTGGCCGCTACACCTGCCAGGCAGAGAACAGAATGGGCTCCCAGCGGGTCTGGCTGGACATCTCTGTGCAGTGTGAGTCTGGCAGGTGGGTTAGGGGAGAGTAATAGGGGAGCAGGGGTCCTGGGGTCAGGGTCCGGGAGCTGGGAGGGGCCTGTCCCCAGGGCAATGGCAGGAGGTTCCCTACCTGTTGGAATCCTTGTGTGGTTTGAATCTGGGGTTCAGCAGGTGAGTCAATCCCCACCCCAGCTTCTGGGCCAGGATGGCTCCCTTTGACCCCAGGAAGCCCCAGCCCCTTTGAGCCAGGCCCCTGCTTCTGTTTCAGACCCTCCAGAGAACCTGAGAGTGATGGTGTCCCCAGCAAACAGGACAGGTGTGAAGAGGGCAGAGAATCACATCCTGGTCCCAGGTGGTGGCAATGGGGGTGGGAATGTGGGTCCCTGTCCCCCAGCTCTCTATGTCTCCTGAGACTCCCCTCCTCCCCTGCAGCTATGGAAAACTTCAGGAATGGCACGACCCTCCCAGTCCTAGCGGGCCAGTCCCTGCGTCTCATCTGTGTGGCCGACAGCAGCCCCCCTGCCTCGCTGAGCTGGGACTGGGGGACACTCCCCCTGAGCCCCTCCCAGTCCTCAGACCCCTGGGTCCTGGAGCTGCCTCAGGTCCAGAAGGAGGATGAAGGGGAGGTCACCTGCCGAGCTCGGAACTCTCTGGGCTCCCAGCACGTGACTCTGCACCTCTCTGTGCTCTGTGAGTGTGGGGACCCCCGGGGTAGGCACGTGGATCCTGGAAGGAGGACCCACCTCTGATTGCTCCCCTAACTCCCCGCAGACCCCCCTGAGCTGCTCGGCCCCTCCTGCTCCTGGGAGGCCGAGGGTCTGCGCTGTAACTGCTCTGCTCGAGCCCGGCCAGTGCCCTCGCTGTACTGGCGAGTTGGGGACCGGCTGGTGGAGGGGAACAGCAGCAACACCTCCGTCACTGTCACCTCCATCTCAGAGGGATCCTGGGCCAACAGCTCCCTCAGGCTTTCCTCAGGGCTCAGTCCAGACCTTGGACTCCACTGTGAGGCCAGGAATGACCACGGGGCTCACGGCATCACTGTCCTGCAGCTCCCAGGTCGGGAGACCAGCTGAGGGTCTAGTTTGTGTTGTGGGGGAAGGACTGGGGTGTAGGGGGTTGGAGTCAGGGTGGTGTGGCTGGGACACGGGCCTGTGAGTGTGAAAAATGCACTCCTGTGCAGACCAGAGTGACCCAGGGGGACTCTGGGGGACAGCGTAGAACTCAGTGCCATCCGGTTTCCAGGTGAATCTTGCCGGAAGCAGACCTTTCACGCCTTTCATCCCAGGAGGGCTCGTTGGTTAGAACCGCTGTGTTCTAGTTCAAGGGCCAACCTGGAATCATGCCCCTGGGGCTCTGGGGCTGTGGCAGGGGTGTACTCATTGGAGGCCTGGCTGCTGGGGTGTGTGTGTGCGGGGGTGTCTTAAAGGGGAAGGTAGGACCAGCAGGTGCAGGGGTGGTACCTGAAGCCTGGATGCCTAACGGTGAAGGGCCGGTGGGACCCTCTTATTGCACAGATAATCAGGGAGCTATGTCAGCGGCCTTCTCCAAGGGGGCGCTTCTGGGGACTGGCGTGGCCACCCTCCTCTTCCTCTGCCTCATTCTGGTCCTGTGAGTTCAGGGGGAGCCTGGGTGGGGAGTGGGCTCTGGAGACTGGGCCAGGCGGGGAAGGGGGTGCAAGAGTGCACAGTGTGAGGGGTTCCTCCCCATAGAGGGAAGACTTTGAGGCAGAAGTGGACCCAGGGAGAAGCTCTGAGGCGCCTAGCCTCGAGGGGCAGCTCAGTCATGGATTACGTCAACGTGAACCCCAAGGTGAGTGCCGGGCCCTGGTCTCCCTCTCTCTGGTCTCTAACCCTGACACCTCCTTGTCCAGATGTCTTCCATCACCTCACAGGGGCCACCAGAGATACAAGGTGTCTTGAGGACCCGCTGTCTGTGAGGCCTTGGGCACGGTGCCCCCTCTCCAAGTCTCCAGGGTTCCCCCCGAATCCTGTGAGGAGGTGGCTGGGATTTACTGGAACCCAATCCCAACCCCTGGCCATCAAGTCCCTTCCGATCAAAGTGACCCTGTAGGGCCGCGTAGAACTGCGTCCCCTTCTCCCTCAGATTGGCCGGTGGGTCCCAACTGCCCACGTTTTGGTTGCAACCCAACATAGTAACCTCTGCACCACCAACAACCTTTGAGTTTTTCACCATGTAACTGCTGTTCTACCATTCAGTGAGTCCTACGTGGTGTGATGAATTACTACCGGGCCTCTAAACTCCAACACTGGTGGTTCAAATCCACCAGCTGCCCTTTGGGAGAAAAATGAGGCTATCTCTTCCTAGAAAGGTTTACAGCCTCAGGAAGCCAACTGCAGGGCTGGGATCAACTCCACACGGTGTGTGGCTTTACTGATGATTCCCTTCAAGTCACCCAGGTGGGACAGTCACTAAGTCAAAGTACTAGCTCAAGTACTAACTCAAAGGTCAGCAGTTCTAACGCCCCTACCTGCTCCAAGAAGAAGATGGGGCAATCTACTTCCTTAAAGGTTTCCCACTGTGTGTGTTATCCACACACAGTGATCCTGGGGGCCAGGGGAGAGCTGCCCCTTCGCGTTTCCAGCTCTGTAATCTTTATGATGGCCTCATACAGAGGGATTCACACGGCTACCGCAAAGGCTGCGCCTTTCTGACGGTTCGAATCCACCCCTGTGACTCCTCCTGTGTGATTTACAGCCTCTGAACCCCACTAGACAGTCTGCTCTGAGCTCTGACTAAAAAGCAATGGGAATCTTCATGTGGGCAGGCTGCCCTTTGGCTAACCACAGACTGAATGTCAGTGGGGCCGTTCTGTCCTGTCCTCCAGGGTCACTGTGAGTCAGTGTGCACTGGACAACAATGGGCTGGGTTTCGGGAACTCCCTTATTGACCAATCACTCACAGTGTGACCAATAATAACATGTCTCTGGAAACTCTGTGAACTTTGATAAATGTCGATGGTTGTAGAGGGGCTTCAGGCCTTTTGTTCATAGGGTTGCTATGAGTCGTGCTCGACTTGAAGGCAATCAGCAACAATAACAACAACAATATTATTGGTCGACAGTGTGTCTGAGAGGCTCCCATGGTGTAATGATTAAGCTCTTGGCCACTAACTGAAAGATAGGCATTTGAAACCAGGAGTAGCTCCATGGGAGAAACATCAATTCCTTCTAGCAAGACTGACAGGCTTGGAAACTCTCTGGAACAGCTCTGCACTATCCTACAGGGTCCCAAAGAGTCAGAACTGACCAGACGGCAGTGAATGTGTTGATTTTCAGCACAGCACAGTGATAAATAGCTCTGAAGTCAGACTGCTTGGGTTCAAATCCTTAAAATGCTCTGTGTTCTTGGATAAGTCACTTACCTTGCCTGGCTTCAGTTTCTTTAACCGTTAAAGGGAGATCAGAGCAGAGCCTTCCTCCCAGGACGACTCTAAGCGTGAAATGTGCTCTTACTGTAGCTGCAGAGTATTCAGAATCCTGCCTGGTGCCTCGTTAAAGAGTCCAGCAAGTGCTGCTTCGGGCTGTCTGTGGTCTGTTCAGTCTTTATCAACACATTAGTTCAAAGGCGTCAATGCCTTTGGTCTTCCTGTTTCATTAGTCAGCTTTCATGTGTGTATAATTGAGAATACCAAGACGTGGGTCTGGAGAACTTGTTGGCTTTCAAACACTTTAAAGTGACCCTTTGTACAGAGCAATGCCTGCAACGCAGTGTATTCTTTGATTTCTTGACTGCTGTCTCTAACACACCTACTCCCATTGCCCTAGTCACTGAATCAATCCATGTCACCGAGGGTCTTCCTCTCCTGCACTGTCCCTGCACCCTCCCAAGCTTGATGTCCCTCTCCAAGGACTTGTTTCTCCTTGCAGCATGTCCAAAGTATGTCAGACGAAGTTTCAGAATCCTTACCTCCAAAGAGCAGCCTGGTTTCACCCTCTCCAGGATGAACCTGTTCATTCTCTTAGCAGTCCACGGTATATTCTATACGCTTCTCCAACATCACAGCTCAAAGGCATCAATTCTCCTTATATCCTCCCTGTCATTGCCCAGCTCTCTCATCATACATTTCATTATAATTTTTTTCCTTTCACAACATCCTTTAAAATCTTCCATTCGGCTCTTTAAGTTCATAATGTCTTCCATTTCTTGTAACTGTCCTACATTCAAAGATTCAAGAGCAAGTTTTCTAGTTTCTTTTTTTGTGTGTGAGCTTTAAGGTTCTTTGAATTTTATTTGCTGCTGAGTCATTTATTGGCAAGCCATCAGTGTTTGTTTCTTCAGTTTCTTCTGGGAGATCTTTTACCTCTGGGCCACCCTCTCTTCTGGTGTAGGAACAGTCTGTTCCTTTTCAGTGAGGGTCATCTCAGTGTGGCCGGGGGAGGTCATGGTAGGGGTTAATCCAGACATGAGCTTAGTATGTGTATCTTAAGAGTTTCATTCACCTGGCTGTGCTCAGTGACAAGAAAAGTGACATCTAAACCCTTAAGTTCAACATTATGTTCTGCATTTTGAAGCATAAGCAGCAAAATCTTCGCACTCTTTCTGGGTCACCAACCCTGTGTTCAACCCCATGGTTTGGCCTGGACACACCTGCCGACTCCACCATTGTGACACCAGATTGGCACACAATGCTATTACACCGTGACATCTTTCAGCTACTTGGTGGCTTTCTGGATATGCGTACCCCTGATGGCCTGGGTGGTTTCCTGAGTGTTCTTAGACTGGACCTGGAGATCTGAACATCTTGATTTGCATGATTCTGTGAGATTTTCCAGGACAAGCGAGTAGTTTTAAGAGATCACCTGAGGCCACTCACGGGAAAGGCTTTATAGTCTCTTGATTCCCATTTTGGGTTTTTCCTTTCTTCTCTGTGTTTTGAAATAATTTTTCTTTGCTTTGTTCTTAAATAACGTCTTCCATAACTCATCTGGTCTTCAGTCAATAGTATTCAGTGCATCAAATCTACTCTTGACATGGTCTCTACATTCAAACAAGATGCTATAGGTTGGTCTGTTAACTGAAGGCTGAATAGTTCAAATCCACCACGTGCTCCTTGAGAGAAAGGTAAAGCCATTTCTTTCAGGTATGATCAGAAGACTTAGAAACCCAGTGGAGGGTTGCCACACGTTAGAATTGACCCAGTAGTGGGAATACTCACATACATAGTTGTATTTTAGCTCTCATGGACTTGTTAGACGCTTTTCAGTTTGAAGGTGAACTTGAATGTGAGCAAATAATGGTCCATCTGCACTTGGCCCCTGCGCTTGTTCTGCCCGAACATAAGCGAGCTTCTCCACTGTCTGTTTCTAGAGGTGTAGGTGATATGATTCCTGTGTATTCGGCTTGGTGAGGCCCACAGGTATATCAAATCAAAATCCCACTGTCACAGAATTGACTCCAATGTTCAGCGACACTGTAGGCTAGAACTATCCCATGGAGTCTCCAAGGCTGTAGAGCTTTCTAGAAGCAGACTGACCCATCATCTTTCTCCTTCAGATCAGCTGGTGGATTTCAACTGCCAACCTTTGGGTTAGCATCTGAGTGCTTTAAACATGCATCCTTTCTTCATTGTTTTTGTTCTTGAAAATGGGTATTCCCAGGAAGAGGCCATTGGTCTTGAAAGTGTCTTTCGTGAGACCATAGTTGTCATTTCTTTCACAAGGTCCTAGTTCTCAACTTCTGATCCTTCTTTGTTTCCAACTTTTCCTTTTCAACCACCAGTATTCATCGACGCCTTTTAATGGCATTGCTTGATCAACTTCTGACTGCAGAAGAGGGTTTATAAAAATCTTTTCTTCATTTTTTTTACCTTAGTGTTAGTGAGTAAATTTGAATGGTAGTTTTACTAACTCAGACTTTCCCTGTCTAGACCCAAGCTTAAGAGTCACTTCCCCATTTGCACTCCTCTGCTCAATTTCAATCCTTCTACGCTAACAAATAACATCGTCATCTCGCCAGGTGCTCAAAGCGAATGCCTTAGCGTCATCTGTTGTTCTTATCACCCTACAAACAATTCATCATCAAATCCCATCAGCTCGACGTCCAAACAGATCCAACATCAAAGCTCCTCTCCTTCCTCCCTCGTCTGCACACCGACATCCTTCATCTGGATAGTTTTAGACAGCTCCTTCCTGACTACTTTATCTAATGATAACCATTCTACTTGTTCCTCTACTGCCTTCGTGTCCTGCATGATTTTCCCCGTGGCATTCGCCACCACCTGATGCTACAGTTTCGTTGACCAAGTTATCTGTTTCTTGTCTCCACAGGATAGAACGTCAGTGCAGTATGGGCCAGGGTTTGTGGTTTTATTCTCTACTGTTTTTTAGCTCCTAAAAGTACCTGACATGTGGTAGACACATCCAGGTCAATTCCAACTTAACGTTCACCCTCTGGTGGTGTGATGGTTAAGGCGTTTGACTACCAACCAAAAGGGTTGTGGTTCGAACCCAGCACAGTCATTGCATGAGAGAGAGAGAAGGAGAGAGGGAGAGACAGAGGAAGAGAGAGAAGGAGAGAGAGAGGGAGGGGAAGCGGGAGAGGGAGAAGGAGAAGGAGAGGGAGAGAGAGAGTGAGTCTGCTTTTATAAAGATTTACAGACTTGGAAACCCAATGGACTAGTTCTTAGCCCTAAGGGTCACTGTGAGATGAAGGCTCATAGGAGGCGCTCAGTCAGACGTTTGTTGAATGAATTAACAAAGCAAAACCAAACACTTTCTTAGAGCCCATTCTGACTCATCGCATCCTCACAGACTAAAGCAGAACCACCCACAGGGTTTCCAAGACCAGTACCTCTACAGGTGCAGACTGTCTCCTCTTTACCCCGCAAAGTTCCTGGTAGCTTTGAACCACCAAACTTGTGATTGGCAGCTGAATTTTTTTTTTTAAGCACTGCAACGAATGACGGACAATTGCTCTTCCCGTAGGCTCAGAAATGGAAGACCACGGCAAACCGCCCTTCCCAGTGCCCTCCTTCAGGGGCTCGTCCACCGGAACCAGAGAGCTTCAGTGGCCCTAGACTTAAACCATCCGCTCAAGTGGCAGATTCCACGAATAACTCAGAGAAGCTCCACTACGCTGCAGTCAAGTTCCTGGGCGCCAGAAAATGGGACACCCGGGAGGAGGCCGAGGACACCCACACGGAGTACGCGGAGATCAAGTTCCACCACGGGTCTGCTGGCCACCACGGGTCTGCTGGCCACCACGGGTCTGCTGGCCGCTAGGACTGGGAGCCAGGCCTCCGAGGAATGGAGAGCGTCAGAGAGGGCAAAGGCAACTGACGGACAGAAGCTCTTGTCCGTAATGTTCAGTGACAGGCCAGCTCATTCCAGACGCCAGCATTTGAAAACGACAACAACAACAAAATACAGCTGTAGAGTCAATCCCAACTCGCAGTGTCCCACTAGGACAGGGAAGCCGTGCCCTCACAGGCTTCCATGGTTTTATATCTTTATAGAAGGAACAGCCTCATTTGTATCCTGAAGGGGCAGTTGATGGATTCAAACTGCTGACTCTTTTGATAACTGCAAATGCCTTAACGACAGCACCAGACCAGCTCCTGTTGGCATTTGAAACAGCCTGAGAGATCCGTTCAGGGTGGCTGTGCTCTGAAAAACAAGAACATGATTTTCCCTGGAAGCACCTCAGACCTCACCCTTGCTGGTCACTTAAGGTCTCATGGGATCTTAAGAGTGGGAGAGACTTAAAAGATGGTTCAACCAAAATCTACTAGACTAGGAGGCCCAGGGGCCCAGTCTGGTCCACCGTACTTAAGAATTTCTTTTTCTTTTCCTCCCACAGTTGAGCTAGTTGGGGAGGGAGGGGGCGGATAACAAAAGGAAGAAAATGCCCACAACTCTGAGACCAGAAGGAGTAGACGGTGCCTGACGACACTGTCAACCAGTCTAAAAAGGACCACAGTGAAAGGTCCTGGATAGAGTGGGGGGAGGAAGAAACGTGGATCCTCATAAACAGAGAAGGCCAGGCTCTCACCCTTTGCACCTGGAACAAAGCTCACCCCACTCCCATTGTTCACCTTTCAGCCACACAATAGATACGTGGTTTATAAGTTGAACAGTAAGACCAGGGAGGCACTCACTCTATAGAATAATCAATCCCCTCACATCCAAAAGGCAGCTGTTTGCCTCAAGGATAAAGTTCAGAAGTCAGGAAGGGGTTAGGATGAAGGAGGAATTGGAACAAAGATCACAGGGAGGAAGTGGGGAGGCCATAGATAAGACTGTGGATACTGTAATTAGTGTTCAAAAACAAAATGTCTATTAATGGTACAGTGTAACTCAATTTGCTCTGTAAGCTTTTACTCAAATCACATAAAACCTTAAAAAGAATATTTTTTTTATTTTATTATTTTTGTGTGCGTGTACCGTCAAATCAGATCTGACTGGTACAGGAGGAGATTGCCCCTCCTTTCCCGGCAGAGCATCTGGTGGATTCGAACTGTGCGCCTCTGGGATTGTAGTTGCAGCTCCTTGCCACTAGGCCACCAGAGCTCCCCAAAAAGAATATTTTATAATGTGTAATCGTGATGGGGGAAAAAATGTTGAGTTTTCTGTCCATAAATAAAGTTTTATTGGTACATAATTGTGCACATTCATTGAGGCACTGCTGCTTTGGGCCCCTGGGTCTCTCAAAGGTTTGCTTTCAAATGGGAACCAAACAGTGGCTGGCCACTGCAGAAGAAAGGTCCAGAGGCTTGCTTCTGTGGAAATGATAGCCTAGAAAACCCACGGAGCTCAGTTCTCCTCTGTCCCACGTGGAGAACCCGTGAAAGCAGAATCTCCTTAAGGGCAGAGGGTCTGAATTTTGGGGGGATGTTGCTATATAATAGGAGTGTTGACTCACTGTCCAGCAAAGCCTGACAGAGTGACTGTCTGGTCACTTGCAGAAAATGTTTGGCGAGCCCTGACCAAAACAAAATTAAACCGTTTATTTTTACACAAGAGGAAACAGAAGTAGAGGTCCAGAAAGAGCTCCCGGGAGTGTGCACAGTGAGAAGGAGTAGTTAGACCAGAAAGGAAGTTCCAAGATAGCGCCTTGTAGAGTGCTGGGGTGGGAGTGCGAGGGGAGAGGGGTACATACTGAGACCCCAAACTAGAAGCACTGCTGTGAGAGTCACAGCGACCCTGCAGGACAGAGAGGAGATGCCCAGAGGCTTTTTTTTTGGAGGCTGTAAAAATTTTACAGAAGCAGACTGCCTTATCTTTTTCCTGCGTAGCACCTGGTGAATTCAAATCACTAATCCTGTGCTTAGCAGCCGGATGCTTTTGGGGTTTTGTGTGTGTGTGTGTGTTTAA